TGTGCTTCTCAAGCTTTCATTTTACAAACTACACATCTGGTCATCTTTCTTTCCTGTTGTGTCTAAAAGCAGCCATATGTCATCAGCAACCCTCTCATGTATATTGAACTTCCTTAGCACATCAGCTTGTCTCTTTGAATGTGTTACCTGATGTCTTTAAAGTGGCAAAACACAGAAAAGTGGGTCCTTCTAGCCTTTTGTTCATCAGACAAGTAAGAGTGAGGGACATGGTAGAGACAGGAATATGGTATTTATGCCCTTGTTCCATATCTATTCTATTCTTGCTTTTTAATTTCTCCTTGCACTAGTTCAGCTAGCAGAATATGGCTCAAAACAGTTCTATACTATCCAGCAGTTAAGTATGGCTACCCTTTATTGAAGGGAAGCACTGGATTACTGAGTGCTGAGTGGTTTTTTTAGATCTTCCACAATAACTGATTCTCCAGCTCAGTCTGTCTGTCCAGGTGATTTATTAAGTGTTCACAGTTTTTAACATGAGTGGTCCTCTCTGGGAATTAACAGAGGTATAAGAGCCTTTCTGCTCAGAATGTAGGCACAGATGCTTGAGAACCATTACTATGTGTATGGCAGCATGTATGCAAACAACAGAGAAGGATAATTATTCTATAAAATCTAGATTGAACGGGTAAGCTTTAATTAAAGTTTGAAAATCTTTTGGTTCAGGAGATACATTTAGTCTTTTCTAAAAGCATGCTTAGTAATCTTGGTTCTGTGGTACTGTATGTGAAGGACCCTCTTCTCCTTCACAATTAAGAGTGGTATTGCATAAGTTAAGACATTAAAAAGGTTTTAGTGTGATGAGACAGGTGATATCTTGGGTAACTAGAACCATAATTTAAATGTAGCCCTACCAGTGCATAGGCTGTCAGGGGAATGGGCCCACAGCATTTTCTATTGCTATTGAATGCTGAATATTCTAGAATGCAAGTGCTTTTTCTGCTTCCTAAAAGAGTTGCCATCTCACAGAAAAGCAGAAGTGCACCCATTTTGGAGCTCAGTTCATTGTCTGAAACTTGGCTTCATCATCCATGACAGAGGATCAAGTGTCTTGTGGCACTGCTATTTGACCATCCAGTAGCATTGGAGAGTTCATGAGATACCCATGGTTACCTTGGCAATAAAGTGATGAGATAATCTCAGAAGAATGGGAATTTTTAGAGGTAGTGAGATTTTCAAAGCTATTTCTTTTTTTATGACTGTTAACTCATTTGTTACTGAGATTAACATTTAAACAGACAATTAAGGAATGCTTTTAATAGGCTGAAAAAGTTAAAGGATGTCAGTGTATTCTTTAATCCTGCCTTTCGAAACAATCCCTAGCATTTTGTACTCATTATGCTTTTAAAGGGTGAATAATTTAGATTCTCCTTATTAGAAACTCCTCTCTGTGGTCCTTCCTCTGAAGACAGCTTTCTAAATAAGAAAATAAACTAATTTTATATGAAATTCTATAACCTGTACCTCTGTCTGAGTAAAATTATTACCTGTATATATAGAAACTCCCAAGTCTTCTACCAAATCCAACTGTGCTGGGCATAATTGTAATTTAATTTATTGGAAGCAAATTGACATTTATACAGAAAAAAGAACCCACAAAACCAAAAACCACTTTAAATTACACAGGACAATGCTGAAAAGTCTTCATTAAACATCTTGAAATCTTGCCTTCACATTTGGTGTGCATTTGGCAGGGTTTAGGTCATGAAATCCCAACCCTTAGATGTTCAGAGCAAAGGAGCTCTGTGGTACCCTTCTTCAGTACATACCTGTGCTTTTAAAAGGCTATAATGACACTCATCTGTGAGAGATTTGCGAAGCAGGTAAAGCTCTTCATTCATCTCAGGTAGTTATGTGATGATTAAGTGACTTACCATCTTTGCAACCATACTAGAATGTGTATTCCTACCAGAAAGCTTAGCCACTGCAGGGGTAACTGGACTAACATCTCCTGGCATCCAGCAGTCTACAGACTAAACTATAACTTTACTAAGATAATATGGAAACCAACAACAAATTGCTACTTGTGGTCTTTTTCCAGGTTTCGAGTGCAAACATACCAAAGTTTATGTTAAATCTGAGCCAGTCAGACATTTAGTAATATAGATCAAAGCAGAAATGAAGGCCTCCCATGCTTATTATTTCAATATGATGTCTGTTCTAATAAAGTGTAAGAATGTCTGTGATAGACTAACTAGTAGGAATTTTCTGGTTCTGTAGTTTAGCCTTAAATATATACATGTATTTGTAAATTAACCAGAAACACATTGTCGTGGTTTCAGTTCCTCGGAAAGCTGATTGTTTTCAATCCTTTCTTTAATCTTAGAAATATGGTGGCAGTCTGCCAGCATACTTTCAGATAAACAGTCCACTTCACATTTAAAAGCCGTAGAATCACTGATATTGAAGGGGGCAAAAAATCAACAGAAAACAACACCAGTTCTCTCTCTCTCTCTTCCCCAAAATGTAGAACATTATTTAAATAAGTTAGAGTTGTTGTGCTATTGTCCCTCACTCTTAATTAGAAATAATAAAAGCCATCTGTGCAAGGTGAATTTT